AATTGATGACTCACCCAATAAATAAATAAATAAAATCTATGAGTTTGAAACATAAAAAACTAAACTGACAGTCCCTAAAACTTAATGTTCTCCACATAAAACCCGACATAAGTTTTTTACTCGAATAAAATGCATTTACTAGAATCCACATCAGCAAATTCATTAATTATGTTTGACTTAATGCATTTAAAATTTTCTAGATGCCTAAAATGCCCATATTTGAATGTTTGATGTACACAATTAATGCCATGCAAATTATAAGGGAGAATTAATAATTTTACTAAAAAAATATTTGTTAAATTCAGTGCCTAATATATAATAACAATAAAACATGTCTAATATATTGACATGCTTAATTAAGTCACTAAAATTATATTTTAATATTAATGTAGGTAAATTATTCACACACATATATAAAAAAATGACTAATATATGTAAAATTTCATCCAAAATAACTTACCAAACAAAATGTTATTATTCAAATATTGCACCTACTATTAAAATTTTAAAATGTTAAATTGCTCAAAATAATTCTATCTATGTAAAATACATGAAAATAATTTACCTAAATAATAAACAAACCCAATATATGCAAATAATTTACCTACATAATAAAGAAATATTATTTTATTTAATACTAATTTACCTACAAAATATTATTAATTTACCTACAAAAAATATTATTTGCTAATCATAAATTTACAAATAGGTAAATTAATTACATATATTTTTTTAACATATATGTTAGTACTGCGCATATATATATATTTGAATGTATAGTAGTACCGTATACATATAGGTAAATTACATGTATATTGAACTTTTAGTAGTATGACATACTTTTGAATGTATTTATGTGTGAGCGTGTGTGTGTATAATTTATATATGTTAGGGTTAATAGTATGTGCAATAATGATTTGTTCATTATAATTAAGGTAAGTAATAATATTTATTGATTTGATTTGAATATTGTGGCATAAGTTGTAAATATTTTGTAATAATAGGTCAATTACTTTTCTATTTCGTAGTTTTTTTCAAATTTGGATTTTATTTGGATGTTTAGAATTAGGTGGGTTTATCAAGGAAATAAGAGTTGTAAGGGTCCATATCTAAAGAACCCAAAACTAAACTGGCATCCTGTTAAAGGCTTAAAAGCATAAAGGTAATTAGTGATAAAATCTTTATATGTTATTGGTGCTTGGAAAGTCTTTCCTAGTCATAATCCTATCGGAGAATCTTAAAAGGAACTTGGAAAGTATCTCTTATTGTGCGATTAGCAAAAGCTAGAAGAGAAAAGAGAAATATGAGCTATCTAATACAAGAACAACTTATATAAAATGGGTTTCTCACTATATGGTATCTTAATTTACTAAAATTATAATAGTTTTAAAAAACTTATACATATGATTATTTTATTGAAACGTAACTCTGTAGTGGCGGTGAACTTGCATTTATTGAACGGGTGATTTAGGCTTTTGAACATCAAAGCTAAAAAAGTCGACATGAAAAGAAAGAGTTGAAAATGAAAAATAAACTTGGTGGCGAAGGTATTGTAAACTGTAAAGCTACAATCTTGTCAAGAAAGCCATCAGTGCTGATTGGCTTTTCGTGAAAAGCATTTTCTTACTCAGCAACAATATTTTCTAATTAAATTCTTGCCAAGGGGCGTTCTTGATTGTTATAACACATTCAACTATTCTACAAACACTTGGGCTTTATTTGAAATTGCTTTTTCATAAATACTTATTTAGCTATTTAGAAACACTTTAGCTTTCTTTGAAAGTATTTTTTCCTAATTAAAATCGAGGGACCATTGACACACCCCGACCGAAATCAGGGCATGCTGGTCTTCACGTGAGGGTGACATAATCATGTACATAGTGCGGAAGCTAAGAATAATAATAAAAGTATGAACAAATACCAAGCTACACACAAGGTAGTTAACATACATGTGCAAGCGTAAGTGTGGAAAATAATATCCAGAGCACAGAAAACCTAGTGCAGTCCAGAGGAACAAACACCAACTAAAACACACCCAGAAAGGGTCCTACATTGGTGATAATCTGTCAGATATGCCATGAATCCCTTGAGAGCCACCAAAAGAGCAATCCAAACTAGAACCTGGAGGGGCGCAAAACAGAAAGTGTGAGTGGGCAAAAACAAAGCTTTTCAAAATCATTTCATTAACAAAGTTCTAACCCCTCACCGTAAAACCTGTATAGTTTTCCAGAAAATAGAATATATACACATATAGAAAACATGCTCAGAAAATATGCCATGTCGAATGCCTCCACATAAAATGTAAGTAAACCAGGTAATGTCAAACAATGTAATGTAATCTGTCAGTCAGAGTCACCTAACGTGACCTGTACGGCTGAATCTAGAGCTCAAATCTCCAACTCACTAACTATACCTACACACGAGTCGGAACCACCTAAAGTGGTTTGTACGACAGGATTTGGTGTAAATAAGTACGCTCAAGTGCTACAATCATGTGAAGACTGGGCGAATAATCGTGGGTCACCTACGAGTTGGAACCACCTATAGTGGTCTGTACGACAAGACTGTGCACCTAACTTGGATCCAAGATGAGTGTGTGGTGCGGGAGGTGAACATTAGGTAAAGGACTGTGCCCTACTCTGGGCGGGAGCACTAACACCGGGGGTGCAGGTTATGAGCTTTCTAAGCATCATACATCATTACCAATCACAAACATAAACCATAACTTACCTGACACTTACTTGTATGTTCGCAACACCAAACATACATATATGCAACCACTAATGCATAAATAAATAGGCAAACGCAATGCATGGCTTTTAAAACATATAAACATTTCATTTCATTTTCTGGGAAAATCACAAGTATATAGGTATATACGAAAAACCAAAAGCCCACTCACTAGTATGTAGAAGGGTCGTATCCCCTTTGCCTCGAGTGACTACGCTCGTCATTGGGATAGGTCTCACCTATATACGAAACAACTATAAAAACGTTAATTTAAAGCACATAACCAAAACTAGGTAATAACTTCTCATACAATGCTCAAATGGGGTGCATGAATACACCAACGTGATCTACTCAACCTCACGAACATCCCCATATTTTAAAAATAATTTTCTGACCTCCACGGGCCGCCACGCGCCGCCACGTGCTAGGCACGCTGACGGCGCCAGTTAACACCGTCATGTATATTCTATTAAAACTAACAGATTCTGTTAAAGTTAACGTAACGCCGTTAGGAATATTCCGTCCAAACTGAAGGAATATTCCGTCATCTTCTCCGGCACACCTCCGGTGCCATCGCCGTTGCCGGAAAAACGGGAAATTTTCAAATCTTTGTTTCTCACTTGATTTTCAACCAAATTTCAAGAAATTTGCACCAAAATGAAGCTTACAACACGTAGAACAAAACCTTGCCACTTTCAAGCCTTGAAATTCATGGAATCTTGCTGGAGAAACTTCACAAAATCTGGCCAAACTTGCAACTCACGATCCCGACGTCCAAAACCTTCCAACGAACCACCCCGAGCTTCCTAAGGACCTCATTAAGCTTCCTACAAGCTTCAAATTCCCTGAAAAACAACATTTTACGTATGCATGAACAGTCACCAAAATCGGGGTTCCATGGTTCGACATGAAATCGAAGGATTTCTTATCTGAAATGGGTATGGTTGAACTCGTATGAACCTCACGAACCCAACGGTAAAGTTCTTTACTTCGATCTATGACGTTTTTGAGTGCTTTGGTTCTTATCCGTACGAAAACATAGAAGGGAGAGAGAGAGAGACACGGGACAGAAAGAAGATGAGGATGAGAGTATGGGTGTGTGTGTGTGGTCCAGATGTAGCCAACCAAAACCCCAAAACAACCACACAACGAAACATAACCACTAGGGGCAAAACCATCATTTCACACCTTGCAAAAAATCCGGGACGGGCTGTCACAACCATTGCTACAATTTTCTCAATAAATAAACATATACAAAGATTGCGGATATGATTTTTGGTAATAAAATATGTTTTAATAGAACAACCATTACATTAAATAATCTTCGTTAAAAAGGCAAAGTTAAACTGTAATTTCGCCCTTGGTGGGAAGGACCAATGATGCAACACATGATTGAGTTGAAAAACCGAATCAACTAATAAGTCCAATAGACTATTCTGCAACTTCTTTAGCAATGTGATCGGTTTTTCTAGGCTCCATTCGTGTGATTCATACCTTTAACAGAATCAAACTGTGAGGATGGAATTGATGACCCACCCAATAAATAAAAGATGAAATTGATGAGTTTGAAACATAAAAAAACTAAACTGGCATCCCATTAAAGGCTTAAAAGCATAAGGATCATTAGTGATAAAATCTTTATATGTTATTGGTGCTTGGAAAGTCTTTCCTAGTCAAAATCTTATCGGAGAATCTTAAAAGGTACTTGGAAAGTATCTCCTAGTGTATGTTAGCAAAAGCTAGAAGAGAAAAGAGAAATATGAGCTGTCTAATATAAGAACAACTTATATGAAACGAGTTTTTCATTATTTGGTATCTTAATTTACTAAAATTATAATAGTTTGAAAAAAAAAAAACTAATGAAAAATGTTTGAAAACTTTGAGTTTTAAATATACAGACAAAATAAAGGGTAAAATGAATAGTACCAAGATTGACTTTTAGTATAAAAATGTGATTGTTCATTAAAATAAACAGTACTGAAACCTTTTCATTAAAATTCACAATATTGAAATGTAACTCTGTAGTGACGGTGAATTAGCATTTATTGAACGGATGATTTAGTCTTTTGAATATCAAAGCTAAAAAAGCCGACATGAAAAGAAAAAGTTGAAAATGAAAAATAAACCTGGTGACGAAGGTATTGTAAACAGTAAAGCTACAATCTTGTCAAGCAAGTCATCAATGCTGATTGGCTGTTCGTGAAAAGCATTTTCTTATTTCGCAACGATATTTTCTTATTAAATTCTTGTCAATGGGCGTTCTTGATTTTTATAACATTATATATACTAAAAGCCAGTTGAGTTTGGCACTGTTCAGCAATAATAAAAGGGCGGAAATGCCCTTCAAATAATTTTCTCAGCTGGGTTTCTCTCGGCTTCTGTACAGTGAAAGGGCTGTTTTGCCCTTTTGATTCCACGCTTCCATCATCCGTGTATGTTTTGGCTTTGGTTATTCTGGATCTTTCTTTTGCTTTCGCCAATTCTCTCTCGCATATCTCCAGTTGCTTTGTTTCTCGCCGTCTTTTTTCTTCGCCTTCGCTTCTGTTTTCTTTATCGTGTTGCTTCGTTGTTCAAAACGTCGACCATTTTGCTTAGTTGTTCTTCGATTAATGGTCACAGTTGTTAAATTCTCTGCCTTTTTGGTTCGATTCCAATAATTTTTTGGGTTTTTGGTTGGTTGGATCCGGGTTTTCCAAGTAAGTTTTACATGTATATTACCGCACGGGGTTTCGATTTTCCATTTTTTTTGGATTCTTTTTGTTAATATCTCATGGGCTTTGCTTTTTGATTTCAGAAATTTTGTGCCCATCTTGGGTTCGCTTCGGACTTGGTTGCGACCGATCTAATCCGGCGTTTCCAGGTGAGTTTTGCATGTTTATCAGCTTATATGGTTTCGATCTTTTGTTTTTCGTTGGATCGTTGTTGTGCGTGTCTGATGCGTTTTATTTTCCAGATTCGGGAAACGGTCCCTTTCAGATTTTTGGATTTTCGATTCTGATTCTTGGAACTCTTTATGCTAAAGGTATATAAATGTATTATTTGTTTTTTCCTTTGTTCCCTTTGCGGCTGAATTTTTTTTTTTTTTTTTGGTTTTGTTTCGGTGATTTGGGACCTTTTTTGTGTGTGTTTGGGTTGTTAATTGGTGAATCTATGGGGTTTTGTGATTTTGGATTTAGGAATGGGTTTTATGTTGAAATTTCCTTTTTGAGATTTTGGATTTAGAAATGGATTTTCATTTGAATTATTTTTTATTTTTTATTTTTTTTATTTTTTATTTTTTATTTTTTATTTTTTGTGACTTTGTGGATATTGGGTTGTTGATGAGATCCAAGGGCGGAGATCGGGATGAGAAGAAGATATTGAGAGGTTTGGTTTCATCTTCTACTCTCTCTCCATAACCGTTAATCCCCATTACCTTTCAATTTCATCTTCTACTCTCTCTCACTCTCTCGCTCTCCTCTGCTCTCAAATGGCTCTTGAGGTCGCTGTCAAGGCCGCTTTGGGCGCCCCTCATCTTCTCGGCGATTGTACGTTCACAATTCTCTCTATTTCCCTCGATTTCCTTTTTGGGGTTTGATCAAATTTTGCTACTTTGGTAAAATTTTCCATCTTTTGCTTCTGACAGGCCCTTCCAGCCAAAGGATTCTTCTAACCTTGGAGGAGAAGAAAGTGCCCTACAAATTGCACTTAATCAATCTTAGCGACAAACCCAGTGGTATTTTACTTGGTTTGAATTTTTGATCCCGAAAATACATGCAGGCATAGATGGAAATATGTGATTTTTGTACTTTTAATGGATTTTGGTGTATATTTTTTGGAGTGTATGAGGAATTGGGTTTGGGGTTTTTGTTGGTGATTTGTAGGTTTACGGAAGTGAATCCAGAAGGGAAGGTGTCTGTCACTGAGGATAAACTTTTTGTCTTCACGTTAGCACTATTGCTTTTTCCTACCAGTCATTGGTGTGCTAATAGTGTTGAGAACAATGCCTAATTTAGTTTAACTCTTCTCATTTTGATAATTACCTTTTCCACTGCCTTCTTGAACTTGGAATTAGTTTGATAGCATTTTGGTTTTAAGCGTTTATAAAATATTTCATTCCAATGAATAAGTCATTGATCTATTAACTCTTATTTGTTGAAGATTTAGTGCTAAAAGCTATGAGTTACAAGTATTACATTCCATTCACCAAGTCATTGATATATTTAATTCTTATTCGCTAGAGGATTGATATTTTAACTCTTCTCATCTTTGCTGCAGCCAATAACAAGAATAAACATTCTCCATTGCTTCGCCCGACTCTACCAACAAATTGAAACCTAAACATTAAAATTTCATGACAACGATTTCACCCATTTATCATAAAATTGGTAGACATAACTTCATACCATCTCAGAGCAGAAATAAAGGTTTTAATTTTCTTTTACTCTGTTATTGCTCACTCTCTGCTTAATTTTCCTCAATTTAAGTCTCCAAACAAGCTACTGTTTGTAAGTCCTATCAATCTTCAATTTTTATTTTTCTTGCTTTGATTTCAGTTCTTTTATTACTAATTTTAATCATTTGTGTCCACTACTGATATCTTGTTATGTTAGTTTGAAAATGTGTCCCTTTGAATTTTAAAATTTGGCAAATTATTTGAAGCAATTCTAATTTTAGCTTTATGGACTTTACAAATAGGAAGATGAGGAGACAAAAAGAAGTACAAGGGGATGCATTTAGCTTCCACTTTTGAGGTTCCAGGCACCCAAAATCTGTCATACTGGTGAGCTCAAAAAAAAAAAAAAAAATCTCATTTTGATATAAAGTTTGGATTTTCAAGTCTGGATTGGATTTAATTTTACATTTAATTTGATGGGTTTGATTTATATGCAAGGACTTTGCTTTTATTAATGCATAAAATATTAATTAAATTTTAATTAAGATGCTAACTTTGTAGGTACCCTAGAATTAACAATGTAGCTGGAGTTCTCCACTGGCTTAAGCACAGTGGAGAACTCAAGTACAAAACTCTCTATCTGTTTCTCAATCCTGGAACCTTTGGCCTCTGCAAGAAGGTTCGTCTCTCTTTCTCTCTCTCACACTTTTTTTTTTTTTTAATTCGTAATCGAATTTCCTTTGCATAAATGATAGATCTGTTGCAGTGTAGCTGCAAATCCTACCCTTTGTTTGTTACTTTGTTCCAATTGTTGCAATCAAATTTTCATTGTTTATTTGGTCAATTCTTGCATTGTTTTATTTGGTGAATTCTCGATTAACGACTGGTTCTTCTTGCTTGGTCTAATTAGGTAACTTAAGAATTTCATCTGTTGATTAAATTTCATGTGAGAATTTTTTTTTGTCCTGATGGATCTTTTTTTTTTTTTTTTTTTTTTACCATTATTCAAATTTTTTTTAAATTATGTAGCCGATGAGTTCGGTATTTCTTTGGAGTCTCTGCAAGTTTAAAGTAATCTATGTTGTTATTTTGATTGTGCGTTTGGTGACTGATGCTATTTTAATTAGAATGTTTTCAATTTAGTGTCATCTTAATCTCAATGGGTTTTTATGATATGCCTTATCAGTGAATTTATCTACATTTTTCAATGTTGGTCTCGACGATTGTGATCACTGCACTCTGGATTTTGTTTGAATTCCCAAATTTTGTCGAACATTTGACAAGTGCTCCTTCAATAAATTTCAAGTAAAGAACGTCTAAATATGACAATTTTAGGGTTTCAAATTCATTGGAAAATATGAAATAATATTGCATAATTTCTGATTAATGTGAAAAATTGGTACTTTTGTAGTGATATATGCTTTTGGAGAAAGTTGTAAAGTTTGATACTTTCCAGCTTTAATCTAATTTTTCCATTGTCTTAAGGTATAGATCCCCGCATTTAATTTACTTTTTCATTTCAGAAGCAATTTGAAGGATTAAAATGTTGTCATTTGGTATAGATGATTGTGGTTTAGCAAATTGATAGTGAGATGGAACACTCCTAACTATGTTGTAAGTTCGAATCACTCATCCTATAAGAGTTGCTTCATAATTGTAATATTCAAAACTAGATGGCTTTTTCAGTTATGGTTCGATTATTATTTTCCTTTTCAATTGTTATTCTTCATTTTTGATGTGGTTGCTGTTTGTGATTTCCATTCAATGTGATCCGTACTCTCAGTTTTCTTTTCAGAATTCCTCTCTTTGCCTTTTCCCAATGTTAATATTTTTCTCCATGATAGAAATTTTAAGGTCCATGTTAATATATATATATATATATATTTTTTTTTCCATTTAGATCCTACAAGTTAAAGGTATTGATGACAGAATTAAATTCAACATTGCTCATTGTTCCTTATTGTAGATAAGGTTGTATAGCAGCAAAACGTAGCACCGCAGCTTCGCGCGGGCAGTCTTGCTAGTATTTAGCTATTCTACAAACACATGGGCTTTATTTGAAACTTTTTTTTTTTTTAATTTATTTATTTATAAATACTAGCCTTCATGGCATGCGCTCATACGTGTACATAAGATATTTTTTGAATCACGGCGTACTAAGCGCAACTTACATGTGTTAAATGTATTTATATGTGTGGATTGACAAAAGAAAAGTCAAATATTTGAAGTAAATGAATAATCTTAAATCATGCTAGAAAAAACCCCTCATAAACCAATCATGGTGGAAGAACTATTGCTACAATGGGTTTAAAATTGAGGGACCAGTGCTCCAATTGAGTTAAAGTTGAAAACCTTTTCTTTAGGTGGGTTAAAGTTGAGGAATCATTACTACAATTTTCTCATTTGATTTTTCATATGTGCCACTTTGATTCAGCGTCGCATGCGTGGTACATGACTTATTTTGACGAAGGTTGTAGCGGAGTCGACGAAAATGATTATGATTGCACTTTTTATGAGGGACCAATAGTCCAGATTTTTAGTTGAGTGACCATTACTATAATTAAATTAAAATCGATTGACCATTACTACAATTTTCTCAACACACAAAGATATAGAAATAATAAAATATGTTTTAATAGAACAACCATTCATTAAATAATCTTTGTTAAAAGGCAGAGGTAAATTGTAATTTCGCCCTTGGTGGAAAGGACCAACAATGCAGCACATGATTGAGTTGAAAAACCGAATCAACTAATAAGTCCAATAGACTTTTCTAGAAAAAAGATTCATCGAAAACAAACTCAAATTCTTTCGTTTTTTTTTTTTTTTTGGTCAAACAAATTTTTTTTTTTTTTTGTCATACAAAATTTTTTCGTAGTTGAATCCATGATGGCTGTCACATCCCCGTCCGGACCCCCACCACATCTCGGGCTAGACTTCACCGTAGTACGGTATTGTCCGTTTTGGGTCCCAACCACGCCCTCACAGTTTTGTTTCTGAGAACTCACACGAGAACTTCCCAGTAGGTTACCCAACCTGGGAATGTTCTGGCCCCATACTCGCATAACTTCGGAGTTTCTACAGAACCCGAAGTAAATGAGCTCCCAAAATGCCTTGTGCTAGGTAGAGATGAGAATATACATATAAGGCTTATAGGATCCACTTCCCTGGGCGATGTGGGATGATACGATCCACTTCCATGGGTGATGTGGGATGTTACAATCCAACCCCCTTAGGGCTCGACATCCTTGTCGGCATACTTCCGACCAGAGATTGGCTCTGATACAAATTGTCACATCCCGGCCCGGACCCCCACCACATCCCAGGCTCGACTCCACCGTAGCACGATATTGTCCGCTTTGCCCCGACCATGCCCTCACGGTTTTGTTTCTGGGAACTCACACGAGAACTTCCCAGCGGGTCACCTAACTTGGGAATGCTCTGGCCTTGTACTCGCATAACTTCGGAGTTCCTACGGAATCCGAACCCAGTGAGCTCCCAAAAGGTCTCGAGCTAAGTAGAGATGAGAATATACATATAAGGTTTACAGGATCCACTGCCCTGCGCGATGTGGAATGTTACAATGGCTCACTTTTATTAGGCTTTTAAATTTAGCTTTGCTTTTCCTTTTTCATTACGGGTTCTAAATTTTAAACTATTAATTTTTATATTATACATGGATGCAATGTGATGGGCTTTTATAGGCTTCATACGTGTGCTACATCAAGCCACTAATGGAACTTTTAACAGAATCAAATTGTGAGGACGAAATTGATGACTCAGCCAATAAATCAAAGATGAAATTGATGTGTTTAAAACATAGAAAACTAAATTGGTATCCCGTTAAAAGGTTTAAAAGCATAAAGATTATTAGTGATAAAATATTTATATGTTATTGGTTCTTGGAAAGTCTTTCCTAGTCAAAATTCTATCGGAGAATCTTAAAAGGTACTTGAAAAGCATCTCCTAGTGTGTGACTAGCAAAAACTAGAAGAGAAAAGAGAAACATGTACAGTCTAATAAACAACATATATGAAACGAGTTCTTCACTATACAGTATTTTAATTTACTAAAATAATAATAATTTTATAAAACTTATACGTATGAGTGTTTTATTGAAATGCAACTTTGTAGTAGTGGTAAACTCACATTTATTGAACGGGTGATTTAGGCTTTTGAATATTAAAGCTAAAAAAGCCGGCATGAAAAGAAAGAGTTGAAAATAAAAGATAAACTTGATGACAAAGGTATTGTAAACAATAAAGCCACAATCTTGTAAAGAAAGCCATTAGTGTTGATTGACTTCTCGTGAAAAATATTTTCTTACTCAGCAACAACAGTTTCTTATTAAATTCTTGCCAAGGGACGTTCTTGATTGTTATAACACATCTAGCTATTCTGCAAACATTTGGGCTTTATTTGAAACTGCTTTTTTATATATAAAGATTATGGTTTTCTTGGGCTGCTGCAACTTAACGGTGTGTTCAGCCATGGATTCTGCTTCTGTGAAAACGTTCCTGCTCGATGTTAGAGCTTCTGCGAATTCGTTGTTGTCGCAGTACGAGCCTCTGGTTCTGGTTTCTGCTGCTCTCTTTGCTCTCCTTGCTCTCCTTGTCTCTTCCACGCTTCAATCGGCTATCCATGGCCTGCGGGAGAAGGGACTCAAAGCCACACTCCTAGGGTTCTTCATGAGCTCCATCAAGTCAGTGACCTTTCTGCACAATAACACTCAGTTCCGCTATTATTTGTTAAATTTGGATATAATCTGTAATGTATTTGTTGGGTTTTGTTTAATTTTGTAAATTGCAGGTTGGTTCCTGGCGTCAAGAGTTGCATCGAAGCTGGGAAGCAAAAGGTCTGTTTTTTTATATATAAAGATTTCACCTTTATTTCAATTTCTATTTTTTTGTTTTAAATTTTGATTTCTGGCGCCTGTTGGCTGGTTTCTGCTGCCAATTTATGCATTTTCTTGAGAGAGTGAATATTAGTGCCACACAGGACTGTGCATTTTGTTGTCTCTTGAAAGATGAACATTCAATGCAGTTTGTTCAGAGGCTGTTGATGTGCAATCAATAGCTCAGTTGTGATTTATTTGAGGATTTTAACGAAAAATTCGTAGTACTGTTCAATTTAACGAAAAATTACATTTTTATACTAAAAAGTCAAATTTGGTACTATTCATTTTACCTTTTATTTTGTCCATATAGTTAAAACTCAAAATTTTCAAACCATTTTCATTAGTTTTTCTTTATTTTTATCCTTAAGGGTTTTATTGTATTAAATGTTTGAACTGGTCCCCCTCCCCTTAGTTCTTAACTACAAGAGTAAATTATAACAATGATCTTTCAACTTTAATCAAATTAGAGTAATGATCTATCAATTAAAAACTTATTACCATTGGTCCCTCAATTTTAATCAAACTGGAGAAATGGTCCTTTAATTTTAACTCAATTGGAGTAATGGTCTCTCAACTTTAACCCAATTCTAGCAATGATCCTTCTAACATAACTCGTTTTCACAAACTTCTGACGAAGTTCATGAAAATGACCCTAGTTACACGTTTTAATAAGTTGAGGGACTCCAAATGTAGCCATGGTCATTACAACATAACTTATTTTGACAAAATTATGACGAAGTTGACAAAAAGGAACATAGCTACACATTTTGATGAGTTGAGGGACCATAGTTGTACGTTTTTATGAGTTGAGAATCAATATTAATAATTTTTAATTGAGGTACTATTACTCTAATCAAGTTAAAATTAAAAAACCATTGCTACAATTTAATTTATCAGCAAAGAATTGAATTTTAAAGGGGCATTCTCTTTAGTAAGGCTATCTCCAACCAAAGGTTCCAGAGGGCCAGAGGGTCGAAAATAGCTCCAAAACCGTCTCCAACCGAGGGCTAGGTCAGAGGGCTGTGGAATCTCTAAGGCCCCATGGAATCGGAGATGGCTAGAGGGCGGGAGGGGTGGCTGCCAGCCCAGGGGTGGCCAAAAAATATAACATTCCTGTCTGTTATAATCGATAGGATTGCTTAAAAAAAGTTTGAATACAATGGCTAGCCTAGCCGTTGTATTCAATTTTTTTTTTTTTTGGTTTTTTGGGTCAATTTTTTTTTTTTAAATTCTTAAAAATTCTTATTTTTTTCCCTATAAATACCTAAACCATTCATTAAATTTAAGTTCTAATTTTTTTGGTTTTTTAGGCCAGTTATCGTTGTAGTTTTTAAATTTAAGTTGTTGGATTTGAATTTAAATTGTTGTAATTTTTAAATTTAAATAATAAATTATGTTTGGCCCTATAACCCTTTGGCTCTCGGTTGGAGACGGTTTTTCGTGACAGGGCTAAAACGAGCCCTATGGCCCTTTGGCCCTCAGTTGGAGACTGGAGGAAAATATGGTCATATACTGTACATTCAAATATTAATATCTTGAAGAATCTCTTGAAGGACCAGAGGTTTAAAACGAACCGTCTGAGCAGCCATCGGTTGGTTGGAAGTGGTCTAAGCCTTTCAAATTTCGTCCCTGCCGTTAACAAGTGACATAATCTCTCGGTTCCCAATAAAAAAAGGCTGCACGCTTTCAGTCAGAAACTCAACGATTGATTGCACGATCACCCCATTATTGATACAGATGGCCGAGGCGGATTCCACCGTCCCAACAAAAAACCCATCTTTCTCTCCTCCTCCGTCATATATGGCCGCCGGCGGCGGTCTAAATTTGCAACCGCAACCATATATTTTCCTGCCGCAGTCGGTGGAGCAGCTGCTGCGTCGAATTTGCGAAGAGAAAAAGCATCCCTGGCCAGAAGACGACGTTTTGCGGAGGCTGAGTTCGCTGACGGAGATGAAGGCACTCGAGCTCCTCCGTCAGATTGCCCGCGCCAAAGAAGTTAAGACTCTCAACGGTTACATCATCTGGCTCTGTCAGGCCCAGTATTCCTCCTCCTCTCCTTCGCAATCTTCTCTTGCTTCTCAATTCCAAGGTTTCAGACTAATTGATGCTGTTGATTGTGACCGTTGGTTTGGCTGACTGAATGTCTGAGAGTGTGTTGACTTGGGGGTTGCAGGTGTGACTCTCACTCATCGCTGCTCCTCAGCTGTTGAGCAACCTGTAGCTGTAGGCAATGGAGAAGCAGAGCTGGAAGCTTTGGGAGAACTTGAATTCAGAAAACAGTTTCTGATTCTAAATTACTCTGGAGGGTATGTCAAAGTTTGTTCTCTCTCTCTCTCTCTCATCTGTTTACTTTATTAGGGTTTATCTCTCTGTTTGTTTACCGGGTCTCTCTGTCTGTTTGCATATTAGGGTTTCTCTCTCTGTTCGCTTACCGGGGTCCCTCTCTCTGTTTGCTAATTAGGGTCTCTCTCTCTCTCTCTGTGTTTGCTTATTGGGTTTTGTAGCTTACTTGCTTTTGGGTGTCTTCATGTTTGTTTGGTTCCTTTAGAATGCAGTGGGGAAGTGTTATAGCGGCGGAGACTATTAGGAGTTGGAAAGATTTGCCAATGCATGTATTTGAGACCAGAGTTTGGGAAGCTTTGGGTCGCAATTATATCGGCAAGGAAGACCGGCGTTTGGTGATTATGATCATTCTCTCTCTCTCTTCTGTGATTCTTGGTCTTGTATGAATTAATGTTTTACCATAATCTTCGCTTAACTCTTGTCCTTTTTCGCTTTTTTTTTTTTTTTGGGTGTATTGCAGACTTTTGAATGGGATTCGGGAAAAACACACCTCTATCATTGTTATGTTTCTTTGGATGGGAGTTTCCAATTCAAGGTTCTGTACATTCAACAACCACCCCTCCCCCGGTAGAAGTATATTTATAATCAGAAACATGAGTTTGCACACACACACAAGGCAAAAGTTTAACAACGTGGTATATATCAGTAATTGCTATGGGTGTTTCAAGCACTACTGATTAGTTTTCAAATTTCTAGATCATTGGTTAGGTCAATTGGGTGGATTTTAGTTGAAAACTTACCTATAAAAAATGTAAATGCTCTGAAAATGGGCATCCTTTTTACTTGTGTTGATCTTAGATAGCTCAGCAATGGGCACTGAATATTATCCTATCACGTACCAAAATAAGTGATTTCCACTGGATTCTATATATGCATTCAAAATTTTTAATGGTATTCATGTTGCCATTGCCAAAGTTGTCATTTGGCAGACGTTGCATTTGTGATATGTTGTCATTTCCTTGACTTTTTTCCAGGGTCCGTTTCTAAACAAAGAAAGAACTCTCCTACAGAAAGTTTTAGGAGATGACAATGTTTTAATGGTGAAATTCGCTGATGAGGGGAATGGGACAGGTCCCTCAAATTCTTACAATAATAAGTATGCTACATATCGCAAGCTTGCAAGAGAAGGGATTCTTGTAGGGTTGCGACGATATCGTTTCTTTGGTACGCTTCTAATGCCTTCATATAAGGGGTTTTTGAGATATTTCTCTTGGGTACTTTTCTTGATTGAGTTTACAAGTCTAAGTACTTAATATGAATTATATGCTTAATATAACGCATGTTAACAATCTTAAGATGTATTGATGATCCTTTTCTCTATATTCTCCTTTTGTAAACACAAATATAGGATGATATGTGTCTCCATGCTTTTTTACTGATTGTGTTTGTGTATGAGGAACCCTTGTTCTTGAATTTTCTTTCATCCTTCTCATGGTTTAGTTTTTGGGTACTATCGGTAAATCAATAAATTTTATCATAGACCATTTTTTCCTGGTGAATCTAAACCTGTATTTTCATCCTTCAATATGTTGAGGAACCTAACAGCATTGGTTTTTTCTTTCTCTATCTGCATACGGTTATGATTCAGTGTTCAAAGATGGTGGTAAAGAGGAAAAGAAAAAAAACCCAACTTCATCACCCGTGAAGTGTTATTTTGTTCGTATGGACTCTGATGCTTCAATTGACAGGGATGTATGGCATATGTTAGCTAACAGAACAATTTATGAAGCAAGATCTCTTTTCATGCATGCCCATACTGTGTCTAGTGTGGCCACCTACATGGCTAGGTATGCAAATGTTTTTAGCACAAACAAATTCGATTCTTCTTTTCTTCTTTTTGTTTGGTCAGACAAACAATTTCTATTCAATTAGTATATAGTGACAAGAATTATGCAGACATTATTCTTGTCATATTGAAGCATTGTTTACTTTATGAATTTTAAATTGCATCCTTGTTTCGAGTGCAGGTTTTCACTCATTCTGTCAAAGACAATCAGATTTCCAGTAGATCTGTCAGTTGTGAATGTTGAGTTTATTGATGAGGAATATTGTAGGGTATGATTCTTAAACTTTTTTTCCTATGAATTATATTGATGAGGAATATTGTTGGTTCGTTTTTCAATTTAAAAACCCAGTTTTTTGTTTTTTTTTTTTTTTATCTGTGAACTGCAGGATGAATCTGGTAACCTTATTTACAGAGATGACAAACCGCTTATACATACAGATGGCACTGGATTTATATCTGAGGATTTGGCTTTACTTTGTCCGAATAACATATCCAAAGGAAAGCGTATCAGTAATCAAAAAATCGAGGTTTGTCATTTTATATTTCAAAGTTAGAAATAGAAGTCAAGTAGAAATGCAGCTCTCTTGTCCATCCATATATCGCCCTATGCTAGAATGCTTTGTTACACAGCTTAGAACTTCGTATGTTAAGCTAATATGTATAATTGAGTAATCTTATTCCCCATATTTCTTATTTCAGTATTTTTCTAGTCTGAAAGTGCAAATGTCTTCTACTCTTTTCATGGCTTATCCATTGACTTGTCATGTCAGAGACTTCCGAATCATAATGAACTTGATGGCAAGGGTATGGAAAAGAAACAGCCAGGTTCTAGAATCGGGGAACCGGTATGTAGATGTAGAGTATTGCAATTGCTTTTCTCTTTTCAAGATTCTGGTAAGCTTACATATTTGGTCGGCAATGTATTCTCATTTCCTTTTGCTCTTATCTTCCCTCCTTGCAGCCTTTGCTCATACAGTTCCGACTGTTTTACAAAGGCTATGCTGTTAAGGGAACGTTTCTTGTCAACAAAATGGTATGGTTTCTATCATTTTCCTTATGGAATAGAAAACATGATGCTGTTAGCTTTATGAAAAAATACCTCACTGTTAAATTGAATTATCTCAATTGGGACACTTCATTGTATTGTTCAAGTTGAGGTCATAAACCACAACCTCGTTGATTAAATTATTTGTTTCATTTTTGAAGTAAATTGATGTAAAACAATTTATTAAGAAGTTTATGCTTAGTAATTATGCAAATTTTTGGGAATAGTTATTTGTGCTAATTTTGTAGTCTTCTCTTCATTCTCTTAGTTTTACCATATTCTACACCTATTTTCAATTTTATATATTAAACCTTGTAGCTGCCACCGAAAACAGTCCAGATTCGACCTTCAATGGTTAAAGTTCAGATAGATCCAGAACTTTCAGATAATGAAACAGTGAATGCATTAGAGATAGTTGGAACAAGGTAAATCCTTCAACTAACACTATATTTGCGTTGCTGTTGCTCAGCGCAACTGGCGTCAACACACATTAAAGTTTAAGGGCTCCAGTTTTAATGGTCAAGCCGTCAAAGGTTTTTTTTTTTTTTTTTTTTTTTTTTTTTTGGGGGGGGGGGGGGGGTGGGGGCATTAGCGTGTCTTAACACTATTGGTTAATTAATATCTTAACTTCAGTTTTTATCTTCCAGTATTCCACCCAGGAAGTCATATTTATCGAGGAATTTAATTGCGCTTCTATTCCATGGAGGGGTGCCAAAAGAATATTTCATGGAAATACTTGAGAGAGCTTTGGAAGATGCTCATAGTGTTTTCTGCAATGCACATACCGCACTCAAAGGTGTTAAGTTTTACCATGACCTTGTTATCTGCCTTTGGGATAAATAACAAACTAGAATCCTATTTCTTTTGTGGATCAAATAGCATTCTAGTTCCTTGATTCCCCTACTCATTCTTTTATTTGCAGTTGCCGTTAACAATGGTGAGATTGATGACAATTCCAATACGGCAAGAATGATCCTATGTGGTATTCCCTTAGACGAATCATATTTGCAATATCGTCTATCGATATTAATAAAAGAGGAAATGAAAGGTCTTAGAAGAGGGAAACTGTATGTTCCTGATTGCTATTACTTGATGGGGACAGCTGATCCAACCGGGATTCTAGAGAAAGACGAAGTTTGCATTATCCTGTATGTATTATTTCTGGCCCATTTTCCTCCCCCGTTGTGTCAAATCATGCAAGAATTTGATAGCATATTTGAAATTGATGTCTCTAGCAATGGTGTAACATTGAAATGTATTGTCTATGATTTCCGTAACTGTATTATTTCTGTAAATTTGTTACTTATACTTGTTTTCTTTCTTGATTATCTATCCTATGTTAGATTTGTTCATCTATGTAGAGTTTTGAGTTGCTGAATATAGTTCACTTATACTTTTGATGGAATTTTTTCGGCCTAATGACATGATATATGCAGTAACAGCGGACAAGTTTCAGGCAAGGTATTAGTGTATCGGAATCCTGGTTTACACTTCGGGGATATTCATGTTTTGAAGGCCACTTATGTGAAGGAGTTAGAATATGTTGTTGGAAATGCCAAGTATGCTATATTTTTCTCTCGCAAAGGCCCGCGTTCTGTAGCTGATGAAATAAGTGGTGGAGATTTTGATGGTGATCTCTACTGGGTTTCAAGAAACCCTCAGGTTGGTGAGTTGCATAAAGTTCTGTTCTACCTTCTACCCAGTTGTGTTTTTGTGTGTAACACTTTGTGACTGGAAATTCGGAATTACTTCCAGCTACTGGAGTATTTCAAACCCAGTGAACCTTGGGTTCCGGCTTCTTCAGCTCCTAAAGCTGCCAGTGTCAAACCAGCTAAGCTTTCGAAAGAAGACCTAGAAGAGCAGCTCATAAATCTGTTTTTGACAACTAGATTTAAACCAAGGTATGCATTGGACTTTGTTTTGTAGCAATTTGAATTGTACTACATTTAGTCCTGGTTGATTTTATGGACGGTGAATCTCTCCTTGTTGTTGGAGTAATTAAGCAAGCATTCTCTAGCGATACATTACAATTCTTTCAATTATAGTTCACAGAAGAATTTCTTCTGTCTCAGTTATGCAATGAGTGAGGCAGCTGATAGCTGGCTGGCTATGATGGATCGCTACTTGACCCAAGGAGATAGTAGCATTGATGAGAACTTAGTGAAGGCAAACATACTGCGTTTGGTTGATATATACTATGATGCGCTAGATGCGCCGAAGAAAGGTGGAAAGGTTAGTTTTATTTTTTGTTGCTTCACTTGCGTCTCTAGCGCTTGGTCATACAAAGAAATTCTGGCTCATTGTGCAATTCCTAATCTCTGAACTTTCATCCTTTCAAGTTATTGGCATTGCCTTGAAATTTGGTTTTTTACTTATTGAGTGACAGGTTGAAGTTCCCAAAGACTTGAAGGTGTCAAAGTTTCCTCATTACATGGAAAAGAAAAATTCATACCTTCAACTTCGATTTTAGGATCGATTTATGATACGGTGAATGAGTACCAACCAGACGACCTCTCAACCAGAGGTGATAAAAGTATTCTAATATTTGCTACTCGTGAGAAAATAATAGTTTTAACTTGCTCTACCTCTTTACCTCTCTTCAGAAGTTAAGAAACTTCCCATTTTCGATGTTGAAGTCCCTGAGGAGTGCTTGATCAAATGGAGGGAACAATACAAACTGTACAGGTGTGACATGACCTCAGCATTGCGAAATGGTGATCAAGAGGGGAAGAATCAGGTTGCCGGGGAGCTCATAACAAAGTATAGAGAGGTGAGGATGTAGATACATGTTCGTAATTGAATATGAACAAACAATTTGGGACAAGTAGTAACATATTCGGATTTCTGACCGTAGATTCTGTACGGTGGTGATGATTTCGACAAGAGTACAAGGCCGATGGGTGAAATATTTGACGAGGCGATCGCGATATATAATATCTGTTACGACTATGCCAGGAGTGCAGGTGTAAGTAAATGCGGGTTTGCATGGAAAGTTGCAGGGTCAGCTCTCTTCAAACTTCACTGGATCAAACAAGGTGATGCATGCCCTTTTCTGGTGTCACCCTCTGTCTTGAAGGAAATTCTGTAACTAAGAAATGGATCGTGTAATCTAGCTAGCCTTTAACGACTGTTTATTATGGTCACGAAATGTTGTATATATTGTAGCATTTTTGTGTATGTATATAAATCCATGGTTCCCAACCATGGATTCCCAACTAGTTTGGAATGACAAACTCAAATGTTGAGAATAAAATCTACTATAAAGTGAAGACACTAGCAATTTTCTCACTTGTTTTTTTTTTGTTTTTTTTGTTTACTTTTTGAATCATCTATTTTATCTTAAATAATAATTTAATGATCAATCATCATCTCATTTGGTTTACAAATTTAGTAAAAATTTTAATTTCTTTAGCATTACCTAAACAAACACGCAACTCAAAATTTAAATAATGAAATTAAATAGTTCAAAATATCGTAGCACTATAAAAAAAATCTTATCAAATGATATGAAAGTTTGACTCATTATCCAGTTAATTAGAATATATAAAAAGTAATAATTCTATTGATTACTGAAATTTTAATCCCGACAACTTGAAAACGTGATACGTTAATGATTGTGTTTGTTGGTGGTAGTGAGTGGTGTCTCAAGATACGCGGTTGTGTGATGGAATCACTGTGCAAGAAAGTAAATTAAGTAGAAGAATACAAAGGAAGAAACAGAAAATAGAATATTTATTATGATGATTTAAGATTTTTTTTTTTTAGCATTCCCTTTTTTTCCCACTGGAAGTCTATTTACGTTAGCATTTCCTGTTTTTCTCATATTTTTATGCATATCTTATTATGATGATTTAAGATTTTTATATTAAACTTTTTAATTAAAATATTAATTTTAGTAAATTAAATAGAATGTAACAAAACTCGTTGTTAGGTTATATCGGTACATTTGATTATAATGTTACATTTGGCTACTTGGTACATTTGAATTTTTGGTACATTTGGTTTTTTGGTACATTTGAATTTTTGGTACATTTAGTTTTTGGTACATTTGAATTTTTCCTAATAATGAGGAATCACTTTAATTAATTATTATTTTTCTACAAAGAGTCGTTAACAATGTAAAAGTTTAAATTACTTTAATTAATTATTATTTTTTATATAAAGAGTCATTAAAACGTAGGAGTTTAAAGGATCAAGAAAATAAAATTTCCTAAATTGTAGTCAATTAATTACAAGGTGAAGTGAAGATGCCTTTAAACAAATTATATGTAATTTAAAAAATAGAAAAATGTTGATGTGGCAATCGGTCAAAGCCTCTTAATCAAATCTTAGAAAGGAACCAATGTTTGATCTAAAATGTATTGAAAAAATGCAGGGGATTCTAATTTCTCCTTTTCAAAATGAACCAGATTCGAAATCATTTCGGCATCTAACTATTATACAATAATCATGCCATATTATTCAGTTAAAAACCGAAATATTAAGACCGTTAATCGAGCTGTTAGATACATTTTATTTGTAGAATTAGTTTCTAACAATTAATTAGAAATAATAGTAAGGAAAATTTTATTTGATTTTGAACTAAAATATCAATATTTCTTTAACCCCAAATTTACTGCTTACAATACCCTCACAAACCCAATTCAACATGAAAATTTATCTTTTCACCCACATGATTTTTAGCACTATTACAATGTCATTAAATTGTATTGGAGCGTTCATCCTCAAGTCCCAAAGCTTAATTTTATTCACTTTCCCAGATTTCACCATGAGATGCTATTATGGTGAATGCGATTGCAGGGACGAGTCCCACGTGACACAGAAGTCTTAAGTAGCGGACCAGAGCTTGTAGGCTTCCACATGAAAACTATACCAAGTGATTGACCCAAAGCAACAACCCCATTATAGGGGTTCACCAGCACTGCATCGCATCAGTCCATTAGACATACATGTATTCACCACCTCGAATCGCATCCGCAGCTCCTTTTCTGTCTTCTTCAGCCTCATTTTCCCTCTCCTTCCAACTCTCGTACGACTTTGGTGCCAATTGATGTAAATGGAAATTACTAAAGCCCCTTGATATGTTGGACTAATAAGAGTTCAAACAACGCCGGTGCCTTGAGAAAATTCTGGAAAAAAATGCCTAAATATTAAAGAATCATAGCCACTAACTTTAACATATGATAGTTTGTGTATATACCAGAAATGTAGGAAGAGGGAGGAAGGAAGAGATGGGGAGGGAAGAGATGGCAGCAGCAAAGAAAAAGAACAAAAATATAATATAAAAAGTTCGAATAACTATTTGCAGTTAATACCGGGAGGATGTCTGCAACAATTTGCAGTCGAAATTGTTGCAGAAAGTTTAACAAACTATGGAAGATTGATGAAAAAAAACTGCAACCCAAACACTCATTTTCTAAAATTTAAAAAGATTAGAAATCTAACAAATACAAAATTTATAAATCAAGTCATATCTTAATTAGAGGATTCAAAACTTTAAAATTACCATCTATCAATAAAAAAACTTGCTTTTCACTATAAGAGTTATTAAGATTTTAGATGGAATGAGCTTATGATAAATAATGAGAGATGATAAGGTTTAATTATAATCTATGGATTTATTGATAAATTTGAGTTTTATTATTAATTTCATTTTATACTTAATAGTAATTATACAATCAGGTAAAAATGAGAATTAACATTTAAAATTTAAGTAGATGTAGAAAGAAGTTACGTGAATTTAAATAAAATTTTCCAAATAGTAATTTAGAATACTTGCATGATTGACAGACAGCAATGGACATGTGTATTATAATCTCATTGTCCAAGTGATTCACTCCATGTACAACTCTCTATCCTCTCTGCACAGACAAAATCTCATGTCTCCGTCTCCCTCTCACTCCCACCGTCTCTCTCGCCTCCTATCCTATCCATTCCCTCGATAATTTTCCTCAGTGATCTGTTGCCTCAGAAAAAACCCACTCATCTAAATCAATCATATCATTCATCTACCCCACCACCTCCACTAATATATTAAAGAAAGTAGTTTCACACTTTAAACCCCTTCCCCCGTTACTTTTTCCGTTCTTTTCTGTAAATAATTCAGGAAAGAGAAAAATGATTGATTAGTTAAATCGAAAACGACCCTTACCCTTTTAATTTTCTTTTACCATTTGACTTTCCATGTAAAAAAAAGCCAAAGTCTTCGATCTGTATATGTGGGAATGTTACAGCGCTCGCTGTTTCTTTTAGTATTAAAACAGAGCACTCCATCTGCTTCTGCTTCTTGTGCTCCTACTTCTGCCTCTCTGATAAGCGTTTTTGAGCTCAAAGGGTCACTGAGAAAGGTTGGTGCTGAATCTGATCTTAAGTTATCACTTGGGTCGTTGAGAATGGCGAGCAAGGTCACGGATTCTACGGTTGAGATCGACCCCAAGTCCACCGTCGGCGGCGGCGTTGAGGATGTCTATGGTGAGGACACTGCCACCGAAGACCAACTTGTCACCCCCTGGACTTACTCCGTTGCCAGGTCATCATCTCTTTCATCAATTTACCTTTTTACCGTCTTGGTTTCGTACTTCCATATATCGGTCAAAAAGTTTGCAGTTTTGATGCTGTTTGTTTATTTTCAAGAAGAATTGAAAAAAATCAATATAGTTGTCTATCTTTTGTATTAATTAAACCGATAAATATTTTGATTTTCGGGAAATAACTGAGTTACAAATGTCAACGGCGGAAATGAACGCTTTTTAGTATTTGTCAGTTAATGTTTGATCAATATATCGTCACGATCACTTTCATTATTAGATCAGTTAATATTTTATCAGTATGTCGTCAATTTTTGATTTTGATCAGTTTGGCAATTTAGATTTGTAAATTAATAATTTGATCAAGCATCACATTTTGGTTTGAATTACGAATTTGACCACAATACTTACATTTTTTTTTTTTTTGGATCGAGGCTGCAATGCTTACATTTATTTTATTAAATTTTTGGTGGGTTCTTGACACAGTGGATATTCTTTGCTGAGAGATCCTCAATACAACAAGGGCTTGCATTTACAGAGAAAGAGAGGGACGCTCATTACTTGCGTGGCCTTCTGCCTCCGGCAACTGCTTCTCAACAACTCCAGGTTTCAATTTTTTTCTCAACAACATTGTCGTTCATTTTTAACGTCTTAAACTTTTCGAGTATTTTAACATGGTATGGGAGTTTTGGTTTCACGAGGTCCATAACTTTAGTGCATTTCGTAACTAATTTATGCATGGCATAGCAATGCTGAATTTTGATCTGACTGTTGGTTTTTCTTGTTTTCCTGCAAATTTGCTAACCAGGAGAAGAAGTTGATGAACACTATCCGACAATATCAAGTCCCGCTGCAAAAGTACATGGCGTTAACAGAACTCCAGGTAGTTTTTCTTTTACCAGTATTGGTTTTGTTTAAGGTTGAATTCGGGTTTACGTGTGCAGTTGGACTTGTAATCTAGTGACTGATCGGTGTTTCAAACTTTCAAATATGTTAAATGACAATTGGGGTTTACTGCTTACATTTTGCCTAATCACTTTTTGCTGAAACAAAGATGTAGAGGACCATTCAAGTTTTCTTTGATTAACAGGAGAGGAATGAGAGGCTGTTCTACAAACTGCTCATTGATAATGTCGAGGAATTACTTCCGATTGTCTACACTCCGACTGTTGGTGAGGCTTGCCAGAAATTCGGAAGCATCTTCAGGCGCCCTCAGGGTCTCTACATTAGTCTGAAAGAGAAGTATGAACATCTATTTGCACAGTGATGAAAATTTCATTTCTCTCAACATAATCGTAACGTGAAAATCCCTTGAACATTATAGGGGTAAAGTTCTAGAGGTATTGAAGAACTGGCCTGAAAGGACTGTTCAGGTTATTGTTGTGACTGATGGTGAACGTATATTGGGACTTGGTGACCTCGGTTGTCAGGTAAGGTGTTGGAAGCATTTTCCCTTTGATTTAAGAACATTTTTTTTTTAATAACAATAAAATGGAAAGTTACCTGCCCTCACATGAAGCTGTTGAACTTGTTTTAGGGGATGGGAATTCCCGTAGGGAAGTTGGCCTTGTACACGGCACTTGGAGGAGTTCGCCCCTCAGCAGTAAGCTTTTTCCTATTTACTAATTACCAATCATTGTTTACACTTGAAGTGGTTGCATTGCAAATCATTGATGTCATAGCATTTTTATTCATTTTAACCAAGAATTACATGGACTTTCCTCTGCAGTGTTTGCCTGTGACGATTGATGTTGGGACAAACAATGAGCAGTTGCTGGAGGATGAGTTTTACATCGGACTCAGACAAAAGAGGACAAGGGGAAAGGTTTCCCTTACTCTAGTCTCTTGTTAATTTACTGCATGATCTAGAATTATACAGCTTAACTTAATGTGAGATATTTTGATCCTACTTGCAGGAGTATGAGGATCTTTTACAAGAGTTCATGAGGGCCGTCAAGCAGAACTATGGTGAAAAAGTTCTTGTACAGGTTACCTCTTATGTTACATCATCTACTCATCAGATTTTTGGGGTATAAAATTTTCACGTAGTTCTGAGGTTGTCTAGTCCCTTTATATTGAAATGTGCAGTTTGAAGATTTTGCAAACCACAATGCTTTTGAGCTGCTGTCCAAATTTAGAACATCTCATCTCGTCTTCAATGATGACATACAGGTACAAATTAAATAACTGATGGAGCTTGCACGATAGCCTTTATGTTAGGTACACCTTGTTTCTTTCCCCTTTGAACCATTGTTTCCTTGTATCAGGGGACGGCATCTGTAGTTCTTGCAGGAGTTGTGGCAGCACTTAAATTGATAGGTGGTTCCATGTCTGAGCACAGGTTTTTGTTCCTTGGTGCCGGCGAAGTAAGACCTTGTTAATATATTTGTCAATTTGTATCTTTACTACATCAGATTGGTGGAGAATTAAGAGTAGTCTAGCTTATAATTCTCATCCTACTGTTACTTCGTGGTCGTAGGCTGGTACCGGTATAGCAGAACTAATAGCTCTTGAGATCTCAAAAAAGGTATTAACTTTTTAAAATCATATGCATACAGCATGCCAATTTGGGAGATGCAAAAGAACTTCTAGAAATGATTGATCAATGGCCTTTCTTCATTTATTTAGTTCTGTTCATCTCTTGTAGACAAAAGTTCCTGTGGAAGAGACCCGTAAGAAGATCTGGCTTGTTGATTCAAAGGTGGGTAGCGTGCTCGATCAAGATTCTGACTGTCCCTTATCAAATTTCCTTACTTCCTCTCACATACTTAACGCAGCACACAAATTGTCTTGCAGGGATTGATTGTTAGGTCTCGTAAAGATTCTCTTCAACATTTTAAGCAGCCTTGGGCTCATGAACATGAGCCTGTTAAGGATCTTCTGGATGCTGTCAAGGTTTGAATCAGTCAATCATCTGATATATTTATAGATACATAAAGTTGTGTAAGTCTCGGTTTTTTATCGTACATTCATACTTCATCAGGCAATTAAACCAACAGTTCTTATCGGATCATCTGGTGTTGGAAGAACATTTACAAAGGAAGTGATTGAAGCAGTATCGTCCTTCAATGAGGTAATCGTCTCCTTTCTCTTACCCCCTTTCCATGTATATCTTCTTGTACGTGGGCATAACATTTTCAGCGCCGGTTTTATTGATATTAAGAAATGAATGCTACAGAAACCTCTTATTTTGGCTCTTTCCAACCCAACATCACAATCTGAATGTACCGCTGAAGAAGCTTATACTTACAGTGAGGTATGACAATTACATTCACATCTAATCTGTCGTTACTTGATTGAGGATTTACTGCTCAAATGAACTAATTTCTCTTTCATGATTCTTGTCTGGCTTCCATTTCCAAGGGTCGTGCAATTTTTGCCAGCGGAAGTCCATTTGATCCTGTTGAGTACAATGGCAAAGTTTTCATTCCTGGCCAGGTAATGCAAATGTAGTTTGTAGTTTGAAGACCAACTTTAAAAGCATTGGTTTGAGTATCACTAACTGAGATTTTTTTGTCGTCCTTAATTCAGTCCAACAATGCATACATTTTTCCTGGATTCGGTCTGGGTTTGGTTATCTCTGGAGCAATCCGTGTTCACGATGACATGCTTCTGGCAGCCTGTAAGTAGATGGCAGATTTTGAACGACTTAATTTTGAGAAAGCATGGAAAGTAGAACTTGTATCGCATATTCCAAATTTGCGTTTACCATTTGTTCAAATTTTTGGTTCTCCTAAAAACAGCGGAAGCTTTGGCGGGGCTAGTTTCTGAGGAGAATTTTGCACAGGGGCTGATTTATCCACCATTGTCAAACATCAGAAAGATTTCTGCCCAAATAGCTGCTAATGTAGCTGCTAAAGCATATGACCTTGGTAAGTTTTCTTCTTCTTCTTCTTATTGTTACTTTGGTGTGATCGGAGTTCAAACCGAAAAAACTGTCATTTCTTCCATGCACCATGTAACTCTTTTTCATCTTATGCTTTTGAAGGGGTGGCTACGCGTCTCCCTCGTCCCGAGAATCTTGTGAAGTATGCCGAGAGTTGCATGTACAGTCCCACCTACCGAAACTACCGCTGAACAATCTGCGGCTCCATCTTTTGTTGTGTGTATGCTTCGCTTCGAGGCTAATTATCAAGAATGTGCTTTCTTAAAATGTGTTGTATGAGTGCTTGTGAAATTAGTGTGAGATGATGCATGTAAATCATCTGTTTCCAAATTCGAATAAATATGCGAGTTGTACTTGTTTCTTCATATCAAATGCATTAGCTTCCCTTCATATTTTGCTCTTTGATGTCGGTGACATCACCCGGTCACCCGGTCACCCAGGCTTCAATTCATACATTAGTTCCGATAGTTACTCAAATGTGTTTCCTCAAAGAGTGCACTTATGTTGTTAAAACGAGCGATAAAGCAAAGAATCAACATAGGATCTTGGTTGCAGGGGAAAATATTCTTGAACCACTTAGAACTATAAGCCGCCCTTTGCCAGTGTCGACTGCGCACTCAACGCCACTTTCTAAAAGCAAATGGAATAATATATGTGGCACCAAAGACACAAAGAAGATGGTGGTTTCCTTTTCAATCGTTGGAAAATAGGGAAAATTAGGGTTCTTACCCCACCAATGTAGGCACTAACATGGCTAGAAGCCAAGTAAAGAATAAAGTGTTGATATTAATCATACGAGGAAGTGCATTCTTCAATTCTTACCGCACCCGGTTTCACCGTGAACCACAAATATGCAGCCCTACGACACACACTGTACCGTACGTTTAATTTAGAACGAATTATATGATTTGTACCAGGTCAGTACCGTACAGAATGTGCAACAAAATTGGTTGAAATTGCATTGTGGTAGGGTACAAGATTACAGGGTTATATGAATTTACAAAGGGGTACAGTTGGAACACTAATGTAGCACATTATCAAGTACAACAATGGTTGAACTATATGGAAACTTATGTTTGCTATCTGAGAGGACGGTGATTCATCTTCATTTGCAGGAGAACGACAAACTTAATTGTTATGTTCCGTGTTGACATTCAGATCAGCGTAAGTATCGTAATAACGCTGCCTCAGGTAAGTTTGGCACAAGATCGGAGGAAACCTGGAAAAGTAGACAGATACAGGAATGCAGCGAACAGTAAGAATATCATTCTAAATGCTTTATGATTCGAACTTCAAAACTGCCATCCTTTGGCTACATAAATTTTTTCAGTTGCTAAAATACCTATACAATAGTTCCAGCATAATATTTATGTCAGAACTTACTTGGGAGGGTTCTTTTCAGATTAGCAGGTAGGCAAGCACTCAACAAGACAATCGTGACTTGGTTCTATAAAGTATGCGATCTGCCAAGGAAAAGAAGCAAATGAGATGTATCGTCCAAAATGCGAAAGTATGTGCTGTAAAGAAAGAAAAATAAAATTGGTATGTCGTATATGTGAAAGTTAACATAACGAATGCCATGTAAAACCCGAGAAAAGAAAACAAAAATCAAGTAATTAAGCCCATGTACAATTCCGGCACAGATAAAATAAGCGAAATTGATGGTTTACATTTGAATCAGATGACGGACATAATCAACAAGAGAATCTTACACAGCGTAAAAACACTGAAAACTGATATGGTCTAGTACGCCATGAAATAGAAAAAGTAAAGAAGAAAGGGAGTCATACAGAGTATCTGTCTTGACCGTTCCCTACAACTCTATGCAATGTGGACCTGAGCACAAAAACAAAGCAGGAGCATGCGTCACGATAGTTGAATACAAAAATCCTAAAAGGAGAATGCACATATATAAAGATCAAAAAGAATTGCAGAGCTCAAAACTGCCAGCATTCATCTTCTATGATCATATAATGAAGATAGAACTAAGGGAGAGGAGCAGTACTTGAAAACACGTTGCTCCAGCGTTCCAGCATATCACCAAGATTCACTGTAAATGATCTGAAATAATAAACAGAATTACCACTCAATCAAAAAGGTGTCGTCGCATTATATTTGCTGCTATGGACCTGGCATCTACAATTTTTCACCCTTCTAAATCGTGAAATCTTCAAAATACGTTACTAGCAATGAAGCTAACTTGTGCTAGTGCTATAAACAGTACTCAATGGACCATATATCTGCAAACAAGGATATAACTATAGCATATATGAGTCATCCCAACTTAAGCCACTTTAATGGTATCGATCTCCCTCAGAGAGTACAATGACTAACCCTTTTATTGGTGGTACATATTCCCATACTTGAGGTTTCGCATCCTTATCCTTGCATATCTGCGAAGAGATAAAGGTGGAATAACAGATTAATAATGCAATAGTTATAACTGCCTTCTTAATAATGGTAATATAGCTGAAGTTCACATCATCCTTCTTACTTGGAGACCTACAACATCATCTGTTGCCAATAGGGTTCTAAAACCAAAGTCCGAATGAGCTCCAGCTCCAAAAATTGCATTCGCTGGATCAGAAACTTGACCTATATATATAACAAATGAACACCATCCTATGAGTTAAAATAGTTGTAGGATTAAATTACAAAACTTTTGATTGAAAATTTACCATCGTAGTGTAGTAACCCTAGTGTTTGTATGGCCTCGCCAAGCATTTCTGGCTTGTCGAAGAAATGGATGTCGAGATCAAGAGCAAGGGCCACAAGCCTACCAACTGATTTAGCCACTTCCCTAAAATGATTTACATGAAAACAGTTCAACTCAGCGTATATCATCCATTCTAGAAAGAACTAATCTAGAAGAAGAAATATGGAAAAGGAGTATTGAAAGTTAAGATGCTAATCAATCATTCATCCTAAAACCTTGTCACTAGAAATCGGACCCTACGATATTCTGCCGAACAGAGTTGCAAACTTGGCAGCAGATATGAGTAAATGCCGAGAGGGAAACCAACGATTTCTAACATGGAACGAACATTTATCACGTGCTTATCGACACACATGCACAAGCACTCTGATCCTATAAAACATATGTGGTTCCAAGTACAAGCGCACAACTTACAAGCATTGTCTATGATATTCCTCCATGATCCCCCCTCCAACCCGGCAACAAAAAAGTACAAAATGATCAATAAGAGCACTTCCACCGTGGGCAATAGCCTTATGGATTGGCTTCATATTAATTCCAACCTCCACCCCAAAAAAAAAAAACCCCTCCAGCCCAGCTCGGGAGCGTAACCAAGATGGATGTAATGTGTGATGCAAGGCTGATGCCAATAATGCAATTAAAAAAATTTGCGCCAGGCACGTGGGCAATGTCATTGACATATTTTTTTAGGCAGTGGCCTCGCTCAGTTATTGTAGCTTCAGCAACGTGGCTGTTTCTAGGCCGTTGGATTTTTTCTAGGCTGTAGGATTTCTAATTTTTTTGTAATCTAACGGTCCAAATTAATTAAGTTAATAAAAAATCCGAATTTTTTTTTCTTTTTCTATAAATACCTTACCATTTTCTCCCACCTTATACTACATTTCAATATTTTCAACAATTCTAAACAGGTAAGGTCATGTGATGCGGCGGAATTAGTTAAAAATCTTATCGAAATCTATCCACAAAAATTGTACTTTCATATAATGACACGTGACGTGATGAGATTCGTTAAAAATCCTATCTGAAATTAAAAATAATCTAGTTCCAAATACTATAAAAGTACAAAAAGGAACTATAAAACCAAATTTTGCTAGAAATCCAGCATTAAATTCCACATCTTGCAGTTGTTTAACTGGAGCAGGCCAAACATTAGGGCCAAAACATTAGGGCATAAACGCGCCTTTTTAGCTTCGGGTCATCTTCTTGTTAGCTCAACCCATGTAATTACGCCTCCTTGTAATCTCCAACTATCGAAAACCCGAAAAATTTACGAAACACGAACAAAAACCCAGACTTTAATCAAAAGCTAAAAAAAACAGAACAGAAATTGTACTATCCGGATGATTAATACAAACCGTGAACTTGGTTTTCATGATCGAGATGCTGGTCGAGATAAGGGGTATATCCCCTGTAGTTCTTGTTCCTCAAAAGCTCCATTTTTGCACTCAATGGCAACTCGAAAAGCCTCCTACTCTGATCAAACACCTCCGCCATGAACTCCTCGCTTATTCCATGATTCAGCAAGTAGAAAAACCCGCAATCCAAACACGCCTAAAACAACCGAGAATTCAGTTTCCTTCACTACCTAGACTAGAAAACCAGAAACTATTCAAAACCCAGAAAAACGTTGAAGAATTTATGTGGGAGTCGTAACCTGTTTGAGCAAAGAGACCGATCGGTGGGTGTCAGAGCTTGAGAGATCGATGCAGTTGAGGGCGGAGACACTGGCGGCTCCGTCGCCGTTAGTGATTTGGGTTGCCATTTTCCGGGGGAACTGAAGTGGCAGGAATTGAGAATCGAGTGTATGAAATGGATAGTGGAGGAAAAGCTTTTGGATTTCCGACTCCTCTGTTTTTTTGCAGGTCTCAAAGAAAGCGTATGTGGGAGTTCGAACTGGGGTTAAAAGTTGCAAATTTTTTGCTCGTCAACGCCAAAGCATGAATCGTTTCGTGTTATACTTCGAGAGTGGTGAGGTACAAACATAATCTTAAAATCTTAAAATACAATTCTTATGATGTTTTTGTTCGGATTTTCTTCCCTAAAAACAAAAAGATAATCTTAAAATCTACGCCAACCCGCGTAAATACTAAATACATCCATGTGGTTTTCAACACACGCTAACCAATTAACCAGCCCTGGCTGCTGCCACCCCTGTGTATCTAGTGGAATAACAGATTAATAGTGCAATAGTTATAACTGCCTTCTTAATAATGGTAATATAGCTGAAGTTCACAGCAGCCTTCTTACTAGGAGACCTACAACGTCATCTGTTGTCAACAGGGTTATAAAACCAAAGTCCGAATGAGCTCCAGCTCCAAAAATTCCATTCGCTGGATCAGAAACTTGACCTACATTACAAATGAACACCGTCTTATGAGTTAAAATAGTTGTAGGATTAAATTAAAGTTACAAAACTTTTGACTGAAAATTTACCATCGTAGTGTAGTAACCCTAGTGTTTCTATAGCCTCGCCAAGCATTTCTGGTTTGTCGAAGAAATGGATGTCCAACGATATTCTGCTGAACAGAGTTGCAAAGTTGACAGCAGGTATGAGTAAAGAGCGGTATTTAAAATGCCAACAGGGAAAACAAAGATTTCTAATATGAAACGAACATTGATCACATGCTTGTCGCCACACTTGCACAAGCACTCTGATCCTATAAAACATATGTAGTTCCAAGTACAAGCGCACAACTTACAAGCATTGTCTATGATATTCTAGAGGAAATACGTTGAATACTTCGTTATATTATTCATCCTTTAAGGTTTACAATATATAGGTACACACACCTTATCCTACAAGGAAAGTAATTACAAAAGATAAAGAAACTAAATCCTAAAGATTACATATCCTAATTACTTTAGTCTAAAGTAGGAGGGGAAATCGCACTATTCATATGAACAGTGTTTTGGACCACATTTCAGTTTATTTACAAGATTGCCACTTAGATGCTTTTAGTTTTTTACGAAGATGCCATCATCAGTTCGAATGACGGGAATGCCCGTCTGGGGTTAACATCACACGGTTGGGGGTAAAAGTTGGGTGGGCATTGTTGTCAGTTAGGGTTGCATTCGGTGGGATCGATGGCTCGGTGTGGGATTTGGTGGGAAGGCATGCCGCTTGCAGAGAGGAGGAGAGAGAGGGAAGGAGGGAGGGGGATATAGAGAGGGGTTTGGTGAGGGGAATGCATGCGACTTGCAGAGAGGAGGGAGGGAGAGAGGAGGAGAGAGAGGGAATGAGGGATGGAGATGGAGAGATAGGGGTGAGGGGAAGGCATGCGACTTGCAGAGAGGAGGGAGGGAGAGAGGAAGAGAGAGAGGGAATGATGGAGGGGAAGGGAGAGAGAGAGAAGGGTTTGGTGAGGGCAAGGTATGCGAGTTGCAGAGGGAGGGAGGAAGGGAGGGAGCGAAGCTTAAAAGCAACTGCAGAAAGTTGAATGGACAAGGTCGCAGCAATGGAGATACCTCGCTCTGAACCATTTCCCCTCTCCTCAGGCGAATGCTGAACAAAGTTTTGAAGGAACAAAAAGAAGAAGAGCTACACATAATAGAATCTGATTCGCAAGGAAAAGAAGAAAGCCAGCTTTTCAACGAAAAAGCTAAAATCAATCCCTTCAACCTCCTCATCAGCGGCGGCACCCACGACCACCAGGTTCACTTTTAATTTAATTTTAATTTTTTGCTTTTTCAGATTAAAGAATATGAAACGAATTATAATTTAAAATGGTGAAATTTTGTTGATTTTTGCGTTCAGTGTTCTGAGTGATCATCGAGTTGTGATGGGTTAGTGTTGGATTTGATTCAATTGAGGTAAAAGCTCTGCATGATTGTGATACGGAGAAAATGCTAGAATCTTACCTTCGATCCAAATATCTGATTTTTGTTACAATTGCTATTTTCATTGCAGGAAAATGTGGTGGAGACAATAATTCCCAAATCCTCGAGTTTTATGAATGCATTCCAATTGATAGCCATGTCAAATGATCTCGATTTGTCAGGTATGTTCGAGGAACATGCAAGTTTACAAGAAATAGATTTACTAAAATAACTAATCCTACTTTTTTAGCTTATAACGAATAATGTTGAACTGTTAACTTAATTTAGGATGAGAAATAGAAGACAACAAGAATTGGACCCAAGCATACCATTACTGAAACCATGAAGAAAATAGAAGCGGCTGCAACGGATGCGAGTATTCTGTAACAAGAACTAACAACTTCAGGGTACACGAAACTTATATTCAATCTTGCTTCTTTATCTGCTTATCAAAGTTCCTTCCTACCAACTAATGATGTATTATTTTTTCATCAGATGTAAATGCATGCAAAAATTCCAATGAAAACGTAAATCACCATATCCAGGTAAATCTGAATTGTAGATCAGACTTATATTACAATTTGCTTTCTTTGTGAAATTTTATTGTAATTTACACTAAAGTCTCTGGCTTTTGAAATTCTATATGAAATTATGAATGTTATTCGGAATCAAGTCCGGCCGAGTTCTTAACTAAATAGTGCGAAAATTTGCATGATGAAACTAAATTACTTTTGTATCATCTATATTTACCTGTTATCATAACAGGATTTAAAATATAGAAACATACTGCTTATAGGATTTAAGGTTGAAGTCATTTAGTTCCAAAGATGCCATAACTAATGTATAATTGAGTGAAATGCCAGTTTACATAGATATTGTGCTTATTTGTTTTAGGTGGATTACCAAAAGGATCTCATCAAGTATTCTACGAGCACGATCGACCTTGATCATTCGGATATTTAAAGGAGTCATTGATCAAGGGAAGACGACGAGTTGTGAACCTGTGTGCCAATTTTGCCAATTTTGTAGACAAGCAGAAACTTTGGCACTCGCCTCTGTCCTATCCTCCTCTCGCCGCCGTCTCCCTTCTCTCACCTCCGTCGTCTTACTCCTCCTTTCTCTGTCTCTGGAATCCTATCGTCATCTTCCTCGCATGCAAGGCTCTGGCCCTTTCAATTGTAACCAAAACGTGTTTCAGGTGCCTAACACAACCTCTCACTACTCACTCACATCAGTTGGTTTTTGTAATTTGAACTTTTCTTTCTAATAAATTTGTATGCTTTCTGGATTTTTTATGGCAGTTTTGGACCTTATCTTTTCTGAATTTGTGTGCTTCTCTGGGTTTTTTAATGGCAGTTCTGAGGAAGAGCAAGAAAAAGGAAGAACCAGTATTAGAAGATCTTCCCAAAGAGTACTATGATGATGTGAGTGCTTTTATCCTTTAACTTGGCCAAATGGGTGCTCAAATTTCATGTTTTTCTGTGATTATATGAGTAAATTTATGTATTTTGTTTTTGGGTTTTGCCAAATTCAATGGTGTTATTTATGGGTTTGCATTCAATGACTTTGGGGAAATTGATTGAGTCTGCATTCAATGTAACGTTTCATGCAGTTACATAATGATGAAATAGAATTCAATTTTTTCATTACCTTTTTTTTTTTTTTTTTTTTTTTAAATGCAGTTACATTTATATGATTATTTACAGCATATATTTATCTTTTAGATTCTAATTCTTCATGCAGTCTAAGCCATGAAGGATTTGATAAACCCACAATTGATAACAATGTGCAGCGGCACCAACGGTTTTGGACAAGGAACAAATAAGTACCATTTTGTTTCATTGTTCAAAAGTATTATGTAGAGATTGCTTTAATATCTTGGCTTCTTTGCTGTTTGTGTGGTGTCTGACATAGGATTTAGGAGATCTGGTTTAGGTTTTGCAGAGAGAGATAGGGGGTGTCAGAGAGAAATGTGGGAGGATTTAGGCAAGGGATTTCAGGGATTTGTTTAGGGTTTCTTTTCTGCGATTTGCAAACAGAGAGATGGGACAACGGTGAGAGAGAGATGGGAGGATTTTCTGCGAGGGTAAAGGGAACGGGTAAGGGAGGTTTGGGTATGGGTAGGGGATGGAAAAACATTTCGTTTTCCATTTGCTTCCTCAAACCCGAGGGATTTTTGCGATTGCAGAGAGAGATGGGGGTGTCCGTTAGGTGCCCTTTAATTGTCACTTTTGTGATTTGTCCACCCTTGATTGTTGTGTGATTCATTCTCACGAACGTTCCATGCACAAGGTTTCATGTTATTCCTTCTGTTTTATTTTGATATTATTGTGCTTAATTTCTGTTTTATTTTATTGGGTGATTAGATTAACAGACCTTGGATATTTTGGTATAATAATTTCACATCACGTGTTGCCCTTTTGCATCACCTTAATTGTTCATCAGATGCTAACTTTTAGTTATGTTTTCTTTGGGTTAGTCTCCATCTGGTACATTTGTCCATCCTTCTGGAGTGGAGCACTATCTTTCTGACAACATAAATGCTCTGAGAAACTACTATGCAGACAAACAGTTGTTTACTCCGTTCTAGGTATGTTTTTCTTTAGTATTTTAGAGGGATACTTAACTATTCCCCATTGTAATCCTTACCTTTGTATCTATCTCTCTCAAAAGACGATGAGAGTAGCAACTGTTGCAAAGCAAATTCTCAGATGTATCTAAGCATATACATACATTGGACAAAAACCGAATCTTAAATTGGGGCAGTGAGTTCTGCAACATCCTGGTGCTGCATATATTCTCACACTTTTAAAAGTTGTATTTTTCAAATATATTGGGAATTTTAATTAGTTTTATGTCATTTTCGTAGGGCAATTTAGTAGAGATTTAGACACAAAAGAAGATGCGTGAATCAATACAATTAACCTAATAGTGATTTGGTTCAGCGTAAAGACCACTGCTAGGGCACTCAAGCCATTTTCTTAATTTATGCACATATATATTATACGTAACCAGCACATGTTTCCAAAGGATGTTAGTTAGTGTTCATGCTTTGCTGATATTTTATTCTATTCATTTTGATTTTGTTTTTCAGTTGTGGTTATAGGATTGTTTTGTCTCTTTTTTTTTTTCTTTTTTGTTTTCCTTCTGTATAGCTTTTCTAAAATTGAACTGTTGTTCTCAATTTGGTTATTTGAACCAAGGCCAGTTAGGTTGTGCCTTTGGAAGGTCTCACTGCTTTTAAAGTTGAATGGTGCTAACTCAATATAATGCGTTCATTCTTCAGTGCGTGTGAGTGTATGTGTATGCAGTCTATGTGAGTGCATGCAGTGTGGTTAGGTTCATTCCCGCATGGGTTTTCGTCTTTTTTTCGTTAAATGGTTAGGTTCATTCCCGTATGGGAGAGGTGTGTTTTGCCATCAAATTGGTAGAGACTGATCTTAATCAAATATCATGCCATAGTGTTATTTTGTTTGCATCTATGGAACTATATATTTACTTCGTTGTTGTTGACGGCTTCGCATGTTCTTTCCAGATAATGTTGCCTTTTTGGATTTCGTATGAGTGTCCCGGGTCGGTTCTGGACCATCAAAAGAGGGATGATCGCTGTCATTCGGACTGCGGGCATCCACTTCAAAATCCTGGTAAACACATCCTTTTCTTGATTTCAGGCCATGCAAAATTCATGATGAAAAAACTGAGCTCATGTTGTTGGTTTGTGCCTCTATCCTATTTCTTATTTATTTATTTTATCAATTCTTTTCCTTCTTGGTTCTATATGTTGCTGCTGGTTCCGATATTTCATTGTCCTATCTGTGCATGATATCAGTGCTGCCACTTTTCATATTCTTATCAATGCTTACATCTTCACTCTTTTCCTTCTGTTTTTTTTTTTTTTTTTTGAGAAGACTTCTGTTTCTTTTTTTTTTTTTGAGGAGACTTCTGTTTCTTTTGCTTAACATGGTTTCGGCTTTTTGAGATTGTGTGTTTGATTAACATTTGATCGTATGGTGTTAGAATTTAAATTTGATGTGAATAAATTCTGCCGGTGGGGATTTTGGTCTCTGGATTTTTCATGGTGTAATTTTTATGGCATGATCCATTGGTGTCGTGTGTATTTTTATCAACAATAATAAGCTTTTTCTCAGTATTGCAAACAAGTTCTCTTATAATTAAGAGACGAGTGCATGGTGCATGTGTCTTAATTTATTCAGGTTAAATGTCTTATTTATGTAGTTAAGGCGGGTGCATTCAAGTCCCGCAGCAACGCGCGGGCATATTTTCTCGTCCTACCTAAAATAGGACTCCAATAACATTTATAATTCAAACTCAAATCAACACTCCCCTCAAGTTGGTGCATAGATATCATACATGCCCCAGTTGATAATTGAGTCTTGGAAAACCTTCCTAGACATTGCATGAGTAAGAACATCAGCCAACTACTCTCTTGAACTCACAAATGGTATAGACATAATCTTCCTTTCAAGATTTTCCTTGACAAAGTGTCGATCAACCTTTACATGCTTTCTTCAATCATCTTGTACCGGATTATTAGCTATCTCCCTTGCAGATTTATTGTCACAATATAACTGCATAGCCTCCTTTGGTTCAAAACCAAGGTATCTCAAAAGTTTACATAACAAAAGAAGTTCACTTATTTCGTGTGTCGTACCTCTATACTCAGCTTCCGCAGAAGACCTTGACACCATTTTTTCTTTCTTACTACACCACGTAACCAAATTATCTCCAACAAACGTAAAATACCCAAATATAGATTGTCTGTCAGTAACATTGCCAGCTCAATTTGCATATGTAAACCCCTCAACCTTTAGATGTCCATGTTTTCCATAAAGTATTCCTTTACCTGGTGTAGACTTCAGATATGCCAAATTTCGCATTATCGCAACCATGTGATCTTCACTAGGTGAGTGCATAAATTGACTTACAACACTCACAGCATATGCAATATCAGGACGAGTATGAAATAAATAAATTACCCTCCCCACAAGTGTTTAATATCTACCCCTGTCAACATGAACCTAATATGGGTAAATACCCAAGTGATGCTTTTCTACCATAGGAGTATCCACAGGTTTACACCTTAACATACTAATCTCTTTCAACAAATCTAACACATATTTTCGCTGCGATAAGAAAATACCTTTAGGTGAACGAGCGACCTCAACTCCAAGGAAGTACTTCAATTCTCCTAAATCTTTCATCTCAAATTTAGATGCAAGATTTACCTGTAACTTCTGAATTTCTTTAGAATCATGCCCTATAATAATCATATCATCCACATAAATGATTAAAGCAGTCAATTTGCCAAGCCTACCCTTCAGAAACAAAATGTAATATGAATGACTCTAGCAATATCCGTATTTCTTCATTGCTTGAGTAAACCTATCAAACCAAGCATGGGGCAATTGTTTAAGCCCATATATAGACTTACGCAATCTGTACACTTCTATATTACCACTTGCACCATATCCTGGTGGAAATACCATATACACTTCTTCTTCTAAGTTCCCATGAAAGAATGCATTCTTCACATCAAACTGTTTAAAAGGTCAATCCATATTTACAGCTAAGGAAATCAAAACACGCATTGTATTCATCTTTGCTACCGGAGAAAAGGTTTCTTGGTAATCTACAGCACACATTATCCCCTTAACCACTAACCTTGCTTTGTACCTATCCACTGATCCATCAGTCTTGTACTCGATCGTAAACACCCAACGATAGCCAACAAGTTTCTTCCCTTTTGGTAATTGCACTACCTCCCAAGTTTTATTCTTTTGCAAAATTGATATCTCTTCATCCATCGCTTGTGTCCACTTAGAGTCTCGGAGGGCTTCTTCTACCTGAGTTGGAATTTTGATTGATTCCATATGATTTACCAACGCCCTACGTTCTGGTGAACAACGCTCACATGATACATACTTAGCAATCGGATACTTAACTTTTCCTTCCGGAGAGAACCTATCAGGTGGCATACCACGATTCTGTCTTGCTGGCAATTTATAATTATTCACATCAATATCAGGATTAGTTGTATTATCATTTACAATACTTACCTCTTAGATATTCAAGGGAGCTGGAATGGGCACTAAAGGATCAGAAAGAGGGGGTACTACAGACATATTGGGCACTTCAGCAGATTCCTGCTGAACTAGGTTGTACTGTTCGGTAGAACTCTGCCAAACATCTCTAATTTCTTCGGTTGGGCTGTTAGTTCAATTGGAGCCTGCTGAACTAAGTTACTAGGTTCGGTATGCTCCAGTTGAACAACTAGGCAGATTTCCACAACTTCGGTTTCTCCCACTGAATTATATTGTAGCCAACTTAAATCACCAATATCACTAATCTCCCCTTGGTGATCTAAATTGGATACAGAAGAAGAATAAAAATATTCAGACTCTGAGAAGGTCACATCCATGGTTACAAACATATGTTGATTAGCAGGATGATAACACTTGAATCCCTTATGATGTGGGGCAAATCCAAGGAACATACAACAAAATGCATAGGGATCAAGCTTACTACGATAAGCTTTCTAAATGTGAACATAAACCACAGAACCAAAGATCCAACTTGACAAAGTATTTGTAGAAGCCACTAAAACATGCTAAGTGTTAAGACTAATCAATTTTAGTTTTCTTTTTGGGTCACTTTTTCTTTTTTGGTAGATTTTTCACATGAGTGATCCAACAATCACTGTAATTTACTCGACCCATCTTCCGTTTCTATGAGGTAGTCGTGATCCAATGGTATATTGATTTTGTGCCAAAATGGCAAAACGAAAACTGTTATGACCGTTGTCAAA